ATTTATTACACTCATGCTAAATCATAGACAGAACTAGTTTAAATGTTTAACTTGAAAAACAGATTTTAACACTGAGGCACTCGTTAAACTGAATCCAAATATTAGGATGATAATGTGATCTAAGCGTATCATGAATAGGGTCTCAATTCAAATCTTACATGTGTGAAGTAAAAAAATTAGGGTATCACGTTTTTTGGTTACAGAACAGAATTTGACGAAAAGACGAATTAGTCGGTTGTGTACAGTTTTACTCCTATTATATTAATATTTTTCTCCATGTGACAACTATATCATGTATTCAACATTGACAATGGTAGCCTATTTTTCATGCCAATTAAAACTCAAAACATTACAGTGTTTGTGCAATGTGCTGACATTTTCATTTTTGAAAATAAACACGTTTATGTAAATAACAATTTTCTACATAAAACAAAAATAACGTTTTTTTTCTACTTTTCACCTCCTAGTTAAACATAACTGTTGCCTGTGTAGCCTAAAATGTTTGTAAAATTGTTGTTTTATGATGTCAGATTATGCATGTTCTATATGGAAAGGTTAACATTTGTTAATTGACCGTTAGTTAGGAAATTTATTAGTACATTTTTTTAATCTGTTTAGGGATGTTTTTTTCAAATGTTTTCCCCATGTCTAAATTAAATTGTTGTATGACGAACACTTTTATTAAATCAGCAGAACTATACGTATATTTATGAATGCTATGATATCACATTTTATAAATAACATGAAATTCAGTTAGTTTGTTTAAAATGTCAGAAAATTTGTTTTACTGCATTAATGGTAAAAATATTAGTTAATTATTTTTAATAAACGAAAAAACAAAAGTGAAATAGTCATGGTTAATTAGAAAATCTATGCTTTTATTTTATAATTCCTTGAAAGTAAAATGAAATATTTATTCACATAATAAATTATGTATTCATTACTTCAAAATAATTTGAAATTTTCGATAAACCGTTAATTAAAACAACAATGATCAACCATGTACAAGTGATATGAGATGATTAGTTCTACATTTGAATATGGTTTTGCTTGTATTTAACAATAGAAAATATCTGGAATTTTAAATTAAATTAGTATCATGAGACTGTATCCCATGCTACTATAGTTTCCCACTCAAATTAAGGAAAATAATACAAGTTGAGTAATTGCAAAAGGACAAGTGAAAAAGGCATAACACATAAACATTGACTAGTTATGATCATATGCAACATATTCCATAAATCCAAATCCAATCAAAGAGTCAACCTAATTTTCTTATATCATGTTATGTTATTAATAATTTGTAAGGAACAGTCCTTTTGCCCATATTAAACAAAAATTATCAATGAATATGAAAACATCACAATTTTGTGAAGTTCATTTTTTCTCAACATTAGAAAATCAATTCATATAAATCTGAACTTTTGTGTTTATTATTAGTTATTGACAGTTTCCATAATGTTGAATAAATAATTCAAGTATAATTATGATTTGGTCATGTCAAAACATATCAACTGTTACTATAGTAACATTTAGTAGTGACCAAAGTTATGTTGAATTTGTCCTTCAATGTTGAACTCCGCCTATATATCAGGTTGCATTTTGGTCAGTTGTCTAAGTGACTTGCTCTCGTCTTAATTATTTTTCGATGTCAGGAGGAAAAATACTTGAGAATAAAGCCATACCAACTATCTTCAACCACTTGACATTACTATGTTTCGAATTACTTGTAATTCATGTGTGTGATAACAAACTTGCTAGATAATTTTTTGGAAAGCAAATCTTTAGATAGTTTTTGATGTTATTTTGAGTAATGATATTTACTTTGTTGAAAAAAATTAAAATTTATCCACAGTTCACTGTAGACTGGGAATAAACTAAGATACTCTGAACCGTTCAACCTATGGTGACATAGAACCAACTAACTTCCATCTGAATAGGGAATGAGGAAACTTTGCTAGAGGTGGATAGAAAATACATTTCTCAAGTCACCAGTGTGAGTAACAAGGCAAACTTTGAGTTGGAATTCTCAAAGCCAAAATAAAAGTAGTCAGGCTAAGGAACATACTACGTTGGGAATCGGAGAAAGACGTCAGATGACTAAATAACACTTGGGTAGAACCAAGTATGAGAGATCAGGAAGGAGCTGGTTAGAAATTCATTTTCGGAAGCCTATGCTCCACAAGAGGTAATAAGCTCACCCAAGTAAGTAATAATCAGAATAAAAATCCTATACCAATAAGCTGAATATCAAAATAATCCAACAAAGCTTCACATTTAGCCTTCATTCAAATTAATCTCTATAGATAAATCAAATCAGATCTTACGAATAACTCCTTATTTGGCATCAAAGGGGAACATTAAATTGATGTTTAGGTAAATCGATCGTTTCACTTGGCAATCTGGTTCACGCTTTAACCAGGAAGTATAATCAAACATCAAAATTATCGAAAATCAATATGTTAATTTAACAAACCATCCAATCATGTTACCAATGTAGAAAGTGAGATTAATTGTTGCATGTATAAGACACTTGTTTTTTAAATGTGCGTAAAGATTACAAATGTATAAATGTACTAGTGAATCCGACTTGAAAAAAAAAAGATTTTTTCTCATTTATGTTCGATAATTTTGATGTTTGATTTTATTTCTTTCACAAGACCTCGACCAGATTACCCTTGCAAAATGTTGAATTCACCTCAAGTTGAATTGCTGAGACTTACAAAATAAAACTTTTCGAATGTTTCACATTAATTCAGAGCTTAACTACTATGAATCTATTCGTTCGTTGAAACAGAAGTCATCCTAAGTTACTGTTTTGTTATTAAAAATATCCACATATTATTCATAAAAAAACAACAATTTTGAAAACAATTAATAACAATTTCACAGTTTTTCTTCACATGTTCTGTAGTCATTTTTTCTTCTTTGTATTGACGGTAGATTCATATTTCATAAAAAATCATGACATTTCCATCAGTTGATCACTTTCATGACATGTATCGATCCATTCATAACTTAAATAAAAAGAGTGTTTATTGTAAAAGTAGCTAGATAGTGTTATAAAACATATACTATACATTCAATACAGGTAAGCTCTTCAAGCACTCTGTTTTAATTTCAGAAATATTTCCGTATTCTATTGTAATTAGAATGTTGAATACTGTATTGGAGATATGCATGAAATGAACCGACCTAACATTTAAAACTTGTAAATGAAATTTGTCTATTGTTTAATACGGTGAAGTATAAAATTCATTTTATTTAACTTCTACGGCAGAGATATTCTTGAGTCATTCGCAATATCGTGAACGAAGGCGTAAACAAACTGGCATGTTTGTATGCAGGTTAAAAGGTCACTTATGTTACTATTAGTTAAGAAGTAACTTCAAGGGATTTAAACTACTGATTATATATCTTTTGAAACAATATAAAGCTCTAGACGAAGACAATTTATGGTGTTATGCAGTGAAAACATTGTAAATTTTCATTTGACAATAATTGATGATCACCCTACAGATTTTTTATCAGTAAAACTAATTTACAATATGATAATGAATTATAGTGGATATCGTAATAGGTAGAATGTTTTCGTTGTGGAGATAAATAGTCGTTTATGACTGACTGTTCAGTGTTTATCTCTAAAATTTCATTTATTCTTTATTTCAATGAAATATTTTAAATAAATTGTTCATTAAAAGAAAAAGGATAAGATATTTTCATATAGCGAAAGAGATTTGTCGCATCATTAAAGAAAAATAAAGGCGATTCAGGGAGGAAATTTTTTCTTTTTCGACTATTTCATTCACTTAATCTGTACAATCGTATTGTTAGTTAATGTTATTTTCCAGAAGTAGTAGTCAAAATTTCTGCCTCAGAATTCCCTCTAAACTGAATATTCGTCAAAACAATCTTCTTTTGGTGCAAAAACGACTCTCGGATTCAGATTTTCCTTAATTAATCTAGATGGTTATCCATTGTTGGTTCATATCTGCCGTGGTTTCTCGAATTCAGTGTCAATTATATCGTCAGTACATATTCGTCTGGCCCTCATACATGAAGGGAACTCTTTCAAAACATATTTCCGAATATTTACCGGTTCTGGCTTTCTAAAGGATTACAGAAATAACACCTAGTCAATTGTGGCCACTCCGCCTGACTTTAAGACTGCTTTAAAACCTTACATACACTCGGAAGTGTTGGTTCAAAATGAATGAAACTTTTTACAACAGAGTCTAATGCTATCCACCAGTTCAAACCTAAACTCTTCTTAAATAAGTAGTATGCTCAATTACTTACTTCCTTTTAGTCATTCCATAATCTAAGAGCTTTTGTTATGGCGGTTATTGTGGGTATTTTGTTGTATTTGTTTGTTTCACTGTTAAATTACTGATCCTAATCCATTTTGCAACTACTAATAAGCCACTATTACAACTTCAAATGCACTTTTCGCTAACCGATTAGGATTATCTCATCAGAAGATACAACTTCAAATTTACTTTATTCTTATTTCATACGATTATGTTTTTTCTTATAGACTACTAGTTTAGAAAATAAAATTTAACTACAAATACGATGGTACAGATTTAGTAAATAAAATTGTGGAGAAGAAAATTATTTTCACTGAATTCAATAATGTGTGTAAATGATCTGTTGTTTTCTACGTTCGAATAAGTCACAACAATTATATTAGCTATCAAACAATAAATATTTTTTCAATGTGATATGCTGGCTTATTGTAGTATTAAAAAATTTAAATATTTTGATAACATTAAATGTTCAATATGTGATATTTATTGAATAATGAAAATGTTTATCGTTTTTACTTGAAAAAGAATGCAATTCATGTATGCTTACAATGACGTGATTATGTTGTGATTAAACTTTTATTCTCAGTTAGTTATTATGTGTAATCGATCATGTGGATTTCTTTCTCATTTATTTTCACTCTACAGATTTTCTTTATTGGAAATTCTCACTAGATAACAGAATAAATTTTCATGAGAACATTGACAGAAATAACTTATGCATTCATTAATAATAATCTACAAGATACATCTAAAACGTCAACAGCAACAAAATATGAATTAATTCAAAATGTAACCGACAAAAGTATATGTTATTCTATTAAACAATCATTAAGTAAACGACCATCTATGAAAAAATTAAATTCAACAACAGGTGTTGACCTTCCATCTGTATGTAATTCATCGAATAACTATAACTGTGACGGTATTCCATTCACACATAATCGATCGTTGAATATTAATAATGATGATAAAAAGGCCCTTAGAAATCAGTCACTTTCACGAAATTCCCCAATCTCACCAACAGCATCACAATCATCAGTAGTATCACTGTCTTCATCATCATCATCATCGTCATCTCGACAACTATCACCTATCACAACCCCGAGAGCTCCTTTATTAGGTACGAATCATAAACGAAATCTAACTACAAAAAGTAAAACATGTAGAAATCGCCTAGAAATAGACAACATACTCAATCAAAACACACATAACCATTGTGATCGCTGTGGATTGAAAGAACAATCAAAGTCTGGCGTATGCACTTACCATTGTACTAATATAACTCATAAACTGCATAGTTCACCGTTGTCTGATTTAAAAATGAAAGCCAAGCGTGTTTGGAATGTATTTGAACGTAAAATCGGTAATGATAGTAATAAAAAAATATGTCAAAGTAAATCTGTTGGCAATCTTCAATATACATCGAAATTATTGAATTCGTCTGAGAATTCAATTACTAATCATAATGAATCCGATGTCAAAGGTTCAGGTTTAATGCCAGCAAAACATCAAGTACAAGTAAGTACTATTCATAAGTTTCTTATGCATTCTTATGCATTTATATTTACTTGCTTAAACTTAATCATGAAGTGATTTTTGTTAGATAACCACTGAAAACTAGGAAACTCTGAACAACTGCTTCATCCTTGCATATAAATCCTCAGTAGTGCGCATTGACAACCCAACTGGGAACTAAAGTTAAGACTTCTAGGCTTCGAGACAGTAGTGCGTCGTTAATATCTAGTGGTTTACTTGTCCAAATCCAATCAATTCCAGATACTGCTCAACGGCTGTCAAATTGATACTGTTGGTTAAGTGACTTATATTTGGCATATTTTCAAACTTCAGCTGTTAAAATTCAATGGATTTCTGTGATAGTCAACATTCGCCACAAAGTCACTGTAATAATAAATTTAATTACACGATTCACCGTACTAATTTCTTTGTCATAATTATTGGCAAACTTTCATTTGTGTTTGATGCCAAAATCAGTAGACAGTTTATTGCAATTTCGCACATATTTAGACCCTATTCGAATGACAAGTTCTCAATAGTGAGTGAGAAAGTTAAAGTGAGATTTTTTGCCAATTACTTCCAACCAGCTGACATCAGAGTAACTTAGTCATCAAAAAGTTTCAATTGTTGATTCGGAATGTTGAAGCACAGTATCCAATGTTAACTGACAGCAAAGTAATTAGATACAACTGACAGTCTATTGTGCAAACAAAAGCTGATGATCGATGTTGAAATAAAAAATATTTCTGTCTTACACCAAAAAACGTCTCTTTGTGACATGGATACACTGTGTATGCCCTTCAATATTCAGTGAATGTTCACATATTAAAGTTAGTTAGTGTTATCTTTTCGTTTCTAGCATCTACTTTCCGGTTTTAACTTCCCCACACCTACTGTCCAATTGTAATAGTGGTAGATTCTAAAATGGTTGTTTCTCATTGATTATTTCGTATCAGCTTAGATGTAATAAAAACTTATATATGGTTTTTATTTACTCATCATATTATTAGATAGAATTAATTAAATATGTTAATTCTTTTCAGTCTAAATAAAATGAGCTGTATAGAATGATTTATTTCTTAGTTAAGTAATTAACTGAAAGCAGATGACTAAACGGAAAAAAATACATTTGAGAATATTCATGTCATTTACATTCTCTAACAACTAGTTCATCATTTATGACAATAATTAAATCATCAGTCGAAAATGATAATATCTTGCACTGAAATTTTAATGTAAAGTGACAATACAATTTATTTATATGGATGAAATCACATTCAAATTCAAAATACTTTCAGTAAAACATTGCCATTGAAAGCATAACCAAAATTCTATCATGCACAAAAGTGATCTAAATCACAAGTGATGAATTAATTCAAACCATGATTTAGAAAAAGACACAAAACCAACACAGTAATGAATGAAGAGTTTAAAAACTCAATCTAATCAAATTTCAGTTAAAGACAGTTAAAGTTAACAGGATTAGTGACAAGATAAACAAAAGTCTTATTCAAAAAAAAAAGTACATTAGAGGATATCTTATTATACATTGGGAAATCCAACTAAATTTATTTGCATAATTTAATTTAGTTTTCAACCAGTTGATAGCTGAGAAGGTTTATTACAAGCAGAATAAAATATTATGTAAAGTAGGTGACAGACAACGGTAGGGTTGGTAAGTTTGAGGACACAAAGTGTTAGATTTGTCAATAGCTATTTACTTGATTTTATTCTTTTCGACTTCATTTGACTGTTTTTGTGTTAACAAGAAGCATATCAATTAGAAATGAAATGAACTAATTTTTAACATGGTTGACATGGTTATTCGATTGAATTAGTTGAACTTCACAAGCATACATGTCCTAGGCAGTTTAGTTTCAATTTTTAATTTGCTTCTCTTCGCACTTTCATTATTTTTTTGTCATAATGCGGTGTTGTTTTGACTAAAAGTATCGAGATTCAAACATTGACTATTGAAAATCTCAAGCAACTTAGCAAAGCAACTATGATGTAGGTCTTGAAATGAATATATATATTCAATTTGTTCAGCTATTAATGTTTCGTTCCTAATATTCATTTGCGTTATTTCTATCGTCATTCTTGACAGCACAATTTAAACTTGTCATACAATTTATATGTGTTTGTTAAGCGTTAAAAGTATAAATATTTTCATTTTATTTGATATAACAGAATCAATACCCTTCTGCTACAGACCCTGTATCGGATAAAAGAATCAGTCCATCTTTTCCACATTCGAAATCATTTGAAATATCAAAACATCCTGATTGTAACAAGAAACTAAACACATCATTATGTAATAAACATTACTGTACAAATGTCCAAATGAATACAGATAACAATGTTGATGAAAAACATGTAGATAAAATGTGTTCAATGAGCACAATGCCCTGTCAACCTATTTCACATTGTATGAATTCTTATTTTCATTCTGAAAATTATACCTATTGTATTTATGAAAATATTACAGAAAAATTAGCCAATGGTTTCATTTCTGAATATTATAACAATGAACAATTTCAAGAAACTTGTCATCGAATTTGTTTAACATCAAATAAATTAGATCAGCTGTCAAATATGAAATGTGCAGAAAATTGTATACTCATTTTGCCTACTGGATTACCATTCACAGAAGTACGAGAAATTAGTGTTACGCGTCCTGAAGTCGGAAAACGTTTTGGAGTGAGGATTGAGAAATGTGGCAAGGTAAGATTTATTACGTATGATTGATTTATTGTGGAAGAAATCGTACGATTTATTCAGTAAAGAACCCGTGCAAGCAGGATAGGAAATTACACATTCTAAATGAAAGAAATTTATTATCAAATACTATGATTTCGATATGCATCTAAATAATTATACGTAGATGGTACTCAATAACGAATGATCCCAGTTTAGAGTCCCACTTAAGCTCCAATTCACTATCTTGCTATGAAGTCCAAAGTTGTTTTGTTCGATCTTTGTGAGTGACCTTGGTGCTTACTGATGGTAAAAACCCGTAGAAAAACAAAATAGCTGTCCAGTTCTTCTTAGTTTTGATTATTACCCAACCTGATGTTAGACTGAGATAAATACCCTTTACAATGCATACGACTGTCGAAAATTTTTTGCAGCGGATTACTATTCTCATAATATACAAAGTTTTCTCTTCATGATGACTGTCACAGGTGTCTCATTTGTCAATAGTACTTTCTCACAAAAACATTTTATTTGGGCACTTTGTGATCTCAGTCGAAGAACTGAATAAAGCTGCAATGATTATTTAGACGTAAGTGAATAAGTAGTCGATAAAATTGCAGTCTATTATATATAATTGTCTAGGTAATCAAATTACTAGTTTAATGTTGTTTTTAGAATTGACTTTAATTTTAATGACAAACAACTCAGGTTCATGAATAAAGGTTTTTACAAATGCGAAACTGAAGAAGAATTCATCGACAAAGTAGATCATAAGTGTATTAAATTGTATCGCTATTTAATTATTCATCTCTTGCTACTTCCGGATTCTTTAAAGTTTGTAGCTAGTAGTAGTTACTAAAGTGTTTGACAAACTTACATGAAATGAGATTCACATATATTTTATTTTGGCTAGCTCACAAATACATACTACAGTTAATTTGGAGGTCATATTCTATATTGATGGACGCTAGCGAGAGCCGAACTTTATGAATTACATTTTTGATTAGGTTTTTAAGTGTCTATCATTTAAGAGTCCTGTACCATAAGGAAACAGCTGTCAATTATTCTGTGGTTTTTATTGGAAATTCAGCCGGTTTCCCACCTTCGTAAGGTTTCGAATCTTTGACGTTGTAATTAAGTATCTTAACTCACAGAACTAAATTAAACAGGCGTTTAAACAATCATCAATGACAACATTGGATGACTACCGAACTATAAAATGAAATAAATGAAGTCAGAAATACTGATCAGTCTTTCTTCGACACAATAGTCTGTAACAGAATGTGTTCGTTGTGGAGCCTGAGAAGTCTCAGTATGATCTCTGACTGAATACATAGTTACAGACTTTTTCTGTAAACACCGATATATTTGCAAACATTCGATAATTATCATTACGATTCATTATTAAGAAGCTTAGATTATTATTCATGAATCGGTAACCACTTATAAAGCAGAAACACCCTTGAAAAATTTCGGGATATTTGTTCAGAGCTGTTTTCATTTGTAAATTTTAAACTGACTAGTATACAGTGTATACTCCAACCAATTAGTAGGCCAAGCAGGATAGTGAAATTCGTAGTTGGAATAAGTATTAGCGATGTAAGTGTAAGGGCAATAATGATGTAATCATTGATTGGATCTAATGCTCCATCATTAGTTATGTAGTTTATAAAATTGTCTGCATCAAGTAGGATCTAATAAAACAGAGTGAGTGATGAATGTTTCATGCGTTCAAGAAGTTGATAATAATAAAGTCGTACACTGGAATCGTGAATCAACCACTGTTGGACCACCATTAGAAATTTCGATACCCTTGGCGGTCGTTTCGTCCTAGTATAGGACTATTCAACGATGCACATCCACTACCCCGGCTCGCGAGAATCGAACCCAGTCTAACTGCATAAAGCAGATCATCAGTGACAGCCTGGACTATCGAAAATGGTCGATTTAGTTAGAATTTATGTGTAGTGTGTGTGCTAATATGTTGAGACCATATAACATGTCCTAGCTTTCGGGTAAATTAATTAACCTTTTCTTTCCAAGTCACTATTCAAACGTCTATAGAACTTGTCATTTATTTGCTTATAACTTAGTTGTTTTTACATGAATGTGTATGTGCATTGCTTATTTCGCATATCACATATTTAGCTTAGTTTTGTCTGACAATAAATACTTATTTAAGCCTAATCACATCGGCTTGGTTTACTTTCCTTCGCTTCGCTTTAGAGATTTTCTTTACTGTCTGTCTGCTTGCACCAAAAAAAAACAGTATCAGGCTTTTAATTACCGCTGTCGCACTAACGGCATCCACCTAAAAATGATATACGGAAACCAGTGGGAAAATTTATTTCATAGCATATTCAATTGTTTGTAAAAATTTCAGTTAGCTCCGAGTACTGAATATGATTCATTTAAACGAGACTGGTTAACATTCGTCTATTTACAGTCTCGACTACGTCTTCACAAAATATCTGACATTTACGGTTTCTAAAACGTTAACAACTGTACATTTTTTTAGAAATTGCAAATATCAAAAGCACGATTGAACAGTTAGCAAATACATTCACAAAATGTATGTAAACGTATTAACTGTCGTAAAAGAAATTATTTTCTTCCCACTGCTAAATAATTACCAAAACTAGATTTAATTTGATGAACAAAAGAAGGTGGATGTGTTTCCATTTATTTTATGTGTTAGATTAAAGGTCATCTGTCTTTCATTAACTCTACACCATTATTATCCTTGATTTCCCAGAAAACATCTACGAATGCTGAACAATAAATTTTGAAATTAGTCATCGAAATTATTATTGATCAATATATTTTCATCATAAATGATTGAAAATAGTTTTTGTTCTATGAAAATAGATGAGATATTTAAGAATGGTAAATAATTCATGAGACTGGTTTACATTATGAAGCGATTTGGATTGGACTACTGTAAAAGTTAATCATTATATAATACCTTTTTTAGTAATTAATTTAGATATGAATTCCTGAAGTTTTAATTTAAAGTTTTAAAGTTTAACGTTCCAGTAAGCAGAATGGTTATCACCTTTGATGGTCATGTAACATGTAACATGTAACAATTTCAATTTTTAAAACCTTACGTCATAAAGTTTGAAATGATGAAGTCACTGAGAATGTTGAAGACTTTTATTTGATCCCTAGTGAATTGATAAGTATCCATCGATATTCGTTTTGCATACTGAAAAATAAACTTTCTGAAATGGGTCACAGAAATTCATCAAACTAGGTCATAAATTTGATAATGTCTTGATTATCCTTCGCTTGAAAAATTCGTTCGTCTGAGTTTGATCAAAATTTGAAATGTTTTAGTTTGACATCATACGTTCGGCGATCTGCATCTGATTTGATTCGAACAAGTCTAAATTACTGACTCTACGTATCAGTGAGTGTATCGGATATATATATAATATGATGCGTGACTTTGAACAATGAAAATTTTATACTCTAACTGCCATACTGAACTGAATAAAATAATATTGTTCATTTTGTATAATCAGATAAAATTTCTTTCCAATGGCCATAAAATGTAGTATTTTGGATAAATAATGTTGAAAGCGTTTGAAAAGCAATGCTTGTATGACTATCGCAGAAATAATGAAAATATCTCAACAAAAACAGTGGAATTTAGTAGACGAATCGTCTATTCTTTGATGAAATACACTGTGAACTGCGTGTTTAGCGGTTTTCCAAAAACTGTGACCTATACCAACAGCAAATCTTGAACTTCGATTAATGAATATAAAACGCTACTAGAAACAGTAGATTGTGCCGCCTATGTGGCGGATGCCTACTTCATTCAATTATCAAATAAGAAACGTTGAATTAACACCATAATAATTTTCATAGTCAGTAATTGCACAACCAAAGTCATTCATATTGGTAGCTTGAATCTTTCCATTGATGTTTAAGACTACAAATGATCCATCTACATTGAATTCCGTTGTGAGCCATCATTCATCTCGGCTTATAATGCGAAACAGTTGCATTAAAATATTCCTTTCACCCTATCATTGATGTCATCATTTCATTTAACGTATCAACTTATTCAAATGAACACTTTATATGAGTGTCATCACAGCAGTAACAAATTATACTACAAACAATCGTAAGTTCATATGCTCTAACTTTAAACAATGTGTTTGCCTAATTGTTGGTCATTGTTTAGATTATCAATTTGGATGTGTAATTGTAGAATTTATTTAAAAGAATATCTTGTGTTCATATACATAATGTTTGAATATGGTGGGGATTTTTAGACAGATGGTGAATAGTTCACTGCATTTAGTTTTAGTGAGTAAACCAGTTTACCTTCAATATGATCCATTCATTGTTCATTTGGTTCATAATTAAGGAATAAAAACACTTTTCTTGACAGTAAAGTCATATTTTTCAAAATGTCTTATGAAACATTTTAAAATATGTGGAGGATTGCATAGGGTAACATTTTTGTGATATTAGGTTTCTTCAAATTTGTTGTCACTCTTTTAGAATTCTTTAATAACAATGAACTATTGACACGGTGACTCTCATTATTTTTTACAATACTATCTATTTTGTTTAAATTTATTGATAACCTGAAATATATTGATTTTGTTGAACAAGTAAAAGATCATATTTATCTTGTATTTTTATCAATAAAATGTCAGTAGATAATGTCAGTGAAATGTGATATATATCGAAATTGAGTTCTAGTCTACATTGAATGTTACTTTGTTTTATCTCTTAATATCCATTTTATACTGTCAAGAATACGTAGACATTTTAAAGATCATTTAAACAAAAACGAAAGTTCAATGGATTCTAGATAGTTAATCCTAATTGTTCAATATTTTAACTGTATGTTTAAAGCTATAATAATTTCTGAAACCCATTAAGATTAGCGGCAGTTTGTGTTCATACAGGATTGGACCGGTTAATGTGTTGATTGCTTACTGATACACGGTGTCGATAATTATTTTATGATCGAAAGGGTGCATATTAACCTCTATAATAATACTATTTTAGTTTGTTGACGTTTACTTATTTTTGATTGATTTACAACAGTTATAAAAGCCATCCCTGCTACACGGTTTCGGCAGTTTGATAATGTTTATCAATTTCAGTAATACTTACACTCCAAGAGAAAAGTTTACTTTCGAAAAATAGCTTACGTGTCAGTTACTTTCTGTCTTAATAATGCATTCAGTATGATCAGTGTTGCATAACAGTACTGAACTAAGTGTGATTATATAAATTTAAGTTAAAAATCTCTTAGTTTTACTTCTTTTCATATGGTGATAATCGACGTAGGGATAAATACAGATGCACGTTTGCTCAAGTTGTCATACCATATTGGCATGATATGATAAACTGAAGAAGATTATTGATGAAACAGCCAGAATAATCTAACAGTTACTCTGCTGAGAAGGGTTAGACATTGACAATATGACTTAATATAACTAAACGTTATAACTGAATGAATAGCGTAACTCAAGATCATCAGCAAGATAAGAATTGAATGGATTTGTGTCATTATAACCGATGTGGAACCATATATTCAAAATATGTGCAACCTATGAATCGTCATTATGATTCGAATCCAAACCACGCAGTTTGAATCTACCAACATGACACTGCACAGACTAATACTACATTTCGGTTTGACCCCCCCCCCAACTTTCTCTTAATTCACAGTTACCCTAACCAACCCAACTTATTGAAGTAGACAGTAATTATGCATTCTAACACGCATATTTGCTAACCTCAGTTCAAACAGTTAACTCATACTTTTCTAATTTAACATAATAAATTATTATTTCTTATAAAACTTTCATTTAAAACCATCGTTATTTCTTTCCATAACACTTACTTGAGTTATTCACCTCAGTGTTATTTAATAGAACAAGAAAATAGGTTGTTATCCAATTCATAAAAAAAAAGTTCATTCATAAAACCAAACAAAAAAAAACAAGTTTTTTTTTTTCAGTTATGATGTATAAATCCTTGGGTGAAACAGAGAAAAACAACATAAAGTTATTTCTTTTCCTCATTTTCTTTCTTTCTTAAATAGTTTTAATGATTGATTTATGAGTATAAAACTTTAACTTATTTATTTTATCCAAACAATAATATATATATTGAAGTGATTAAAGAATATATGTTTGTGTCAATGTGACTTTTTCTGAACTATTAAAAAAAATTGTTATTGTTTTGATAGAAATGTAATGCATATATATATAAATATACTTGACCCATGAAGTGGTAGAATATATTCGTGTAAAATAAATTAATTTCAGTTGTTAAACACACATTAGTGTTTTTTTTTATTGAATTGTTTTCATGCAAAACTGACCTTATAGATCAGATGTACTTTCATAATAATAATGTGATTTTGTAGTGATGAGTGAATTCAGAAATTATATCTCTGTGCTAATGTGGTACGGCAACTTGAACTGCTGTACTCACGTGCAAATTTCTACGTAGTTGTTGATGACGATGATGATGATGATGATGATGAGTGAGTTCATAACTATTTTACACAATTTTATACATGTTTAATTCATTGAACAATCAATAAATTTCTATCGAATCAGCTGTCTATAGGAAGTCAGTTAAATAAGTTGACGTTTGAAGAATTTGATTAATCACTTTGCATTATGAACATTGGTTTGAGTGGTGAGATTGCTACAGTCCACATTCTTTGAGCATAGTTGGTTCAAAGTGATCTGCAACAAAACTTGTCTTGATAAAAATCTAACTCTTGTTGTATGTCAGAAACAGATATAAGAAGTCTGTCATTTATATTCTGATTCATGTCTATCAATCTTTGTTGGCTCTTAACAATAGATACCGTTATATTTACTTTATTTACTAGATATTACATTTTGAAGAATTATTAACATTGAAACATAAAACCTGTTAATCGTTCTAATTAAGTATGTTCAATAGTTGATCAGTGCAAACGACTACCAGTATTCTATGTATCCATTATATCAATCATCAGAAGAAAAAAAAACGATTTATTAATAAATCGTTAGATCTATTGAAGCACCAAGTATTCCGGATACTACAGTTTTATCCAATTTTAAATACCGGTAAAACTTATTATTTAACAACTAGAAAGACAATCGTTGAGTAGTAGTAGTAGGTGATGGATCATTTGACTCAATGGCTTAGTGAATAACAATACAGTACAGAACACAGTAATTTAACAATATGGATAATTTACTTTTCAGTTTAGAGCTTTATTTTATCTTAACGTGTATTTCATCATTATATCTGTATTTTAGATACCTATTTTTTTATTCTAGTGAGATAAACCAATTCTCTATTTAGTTGATCTTCATTCATGAAAGTGAGAAAATTACAGGATGTTCTGAAAGACACTCTTTTGATAATTTAATCCATCTCCTTTAAACAAAGGTTTTGTTTTAGAAATGTTAAACGAACTTAAACTTACTTTGTTTTATTGAGTTAAATCAGTCATTTTCTATTCGTTCATTAATTTGAACTGGATAAGTTTGATGTTTGGTGTTTAATGAAAATGAATTTCATGTAATGCTTTTCGCTGTTTGATTTTACTCAATGATACTAAATTTTTTTTTGAAAAAAAAACTTTATTTATTTATTATCAGGTCAGTGAATAGAGCATTTCATTGTTTTTCTATTTCTCTGTGTATACATTTCCTCTGTAAATAGTCTGACAGGAAATAAATTTTTGGTGAAATTTCATGACTTGCAGTGTAGAAAATTTAACGAGATATTTGAATATTATTTTTTTTGATCATTTCATTAAATTAGCTGGGACAGTGTATTTAATCAGTGAAAGAATCACTATTTGAAGTCAGAACATCTTTAACAGCATAATCAATAAATTTAAAATCATCATAAGTCTGATGAGTTATTCATTGTTTACTAGTCTGAATCTCTTAAACACGTTTAGAAAATATCTTTTTTAATTTGTCATGGCTCAAGTATAATAGTTTGCTTTCTTGGTGCTTCGCAAGCTACTGTTTTTTTAAATTTAACCCCAAAATTAAAGTGTACCGATTTTCACTTTGGAAATGTCACTGCAACCATACCGATAAATTATACTCGTCATATCATAGCATTCGAATTTCAAAATGTTGAAAGTTGCAATATCTACATTCATATAAAACTATGATTTAAACTCACTGTGTCAGTTTTAAATCTTGAAATAAATTATTTCAAATGCTTTATTGTAAATGTATTTTGGCACACAGGGTACATACTTAACCACTGTTTTACCTGGTTCAGTAGCATCACAGTCAGGTTTGAAAATTGGTGATGAAATCCTCCAGTTGAATGGTATCGCCGTGCAACCGATTTCTATCAATACTATCAATCAGTTAGTTCGTTCAGCCAATCAGTTGAAAATCACATATCGTCCAAGGTTGGTTTATCTATCTTTTGTACCTTTGTGGTGAATAATCATTCTAGAAGTTTTATTCAAGTATTAATTTCCTCATTGATAAACGTGAATAAAAAAAATGAACAAATCTCACAGAGAAATAACATAATTTCATTTAGTTCGCAAAAGTCTCCTAAGCCGCTTACAATTTCAAACTATGTTATTAATGCTCAATGGAAACCAGTGTGCACACTTTATACTGAATAAAATAGAATAAAATATGGAGATACCGACTCAGTAGTCCAGAGGTTAGGCGTTCGCACGCAAGACCGAAGGTCCTGGGTTCGAATCCTGCGAGAGGCAGGAGTCGTGGATGCTCATTGCTGATAAGTCCCATACCAGGACGAAACGGCCTTCCAGTGCTAACTGTGACCAATTCATGATTCCAAACGTGTACCTGAACAATCTTCACAACCCCGTAATGCAATAAAATTAGGCTACTACAATACAGAGGAATTACAATTGTTCAAATCTTCTCTTATTTATTTATTTTATTTATATACATACTTTCAAGATTATTTCAAAGGTAACTATTAACTTGAATTAATTGATCTTTATTGTTCGAATGATTGTAATTTGATCTCCGTCCATCGAAATGATGATCGTATATGAATGGATCAGTTGTATTTTGAAATGGTTTGAATTATTTTTGGGCAAATTAAATCAATTAAATATAAGCGAATGGACATTGTAATACCGTTTTCATGATAAACGTCAACTGAAAAAAACTACTGAGAACCAAAAAGTGTTTGACAACCGTTTTTTTCTAAGTTAAAAACATCTCTGAAGAGTTTAGCCAGTAGTGTATTGAGCAAAGGTGATTAGGTGTTGTAATATATTCTTCTTGTAGGTTAACACTAACTAAGATTTCAAAGCAAAGATAAAATTAATATTGGAATGATTCCTTTCGTTCCGATTAACTGTTCAACTGTCGGTTTATAATGGATAGTTCCACTACTTTGAAACCTTTTTCAGAAACTACCTATCTGAAATGTATTCAATGAAATGAGTTCTTTCAAACTCTTTTTCCACTTTGTAAGACCAACAGTAGTATAAAATGCGATGGCTCTGACTCAGAGCACATTAAAAGTAGATCCATTACAATAAGTTCGACTTTACATAATAAGAACCCAACTCAAATCGTTTCAATCACTCAGTTCTCTTATTAATTAGTGACTAAGGCTTTGGTGTTCAATTTTACTTTGTTTAAAGCAGCTCTTAGTAAGATAGTCAATCTTTACATTTGAAAAACTGCTAAAACTTGAGGACACTAACTTATACATTATTACTGTGATGCAGGATGATATTACTGCATGAACTATGCATCACAAATATAAACTACTTTTGATTGAAAAGAAAAAAACAACTAAAGGTGCAATTTAATCGTATTCTTTGATTTTAATATAACAATTGTTTGGAACTATTGAAAATAAAATTCTTTTCATGACGAGACTTGTTTAATTAGCAAATGTAAAAACTAGCTCTTTCTTAAAATGTAATTCTTATTTTACCATTTGTTTTTGGTTTCAATTTTCAATTTTTTTGTTTTTGCATTTGATTTACAGGACAATGTTAGCTAAAATCAGACTTATTATAGTCAAAAAGATAGATGGACGTGTTGGCATACGACTGAAAAAAATTGCTGAGGTAAATGTACGCATAGTTCATTCTTCAGTTGCACTAAAGTCCTAATCTTATTTAAACAAAAATATATCAATGATCAATTATTTTTAATTCAGTTGACTTCGAAATAAAAGTGATAGTAAAAGTGATAATTTCAAAAGATTACAACACATTTCTCTTTCTACTCTACTCATATATATTTTTAATTCATGGTACACAAATTTGAAAATCTAATAAACGGATTTGAAATTTAAGTTAGCTTTTATTATTAAGTTCAATTATGTATTAAATTATTAATTAGGAAAATAATTTTATTGAATAATTAAAGTGGATACAATTCGGTGAATTTCTGTAAAATCAAACGTTAATATTTATTTTCAGGAATGTTTGTGGATAACTTTATTTACTTTAATCTTTCTGTGGTGTAAAGGAACTGGAAAAATAACGTAAATTAATGTTAACTGTTTAAGTATTAGTGTGTTGTTTTTAAATAGGCTCTTCGTTTTGACTTTCTATATCATTCAAGTATTGAGTTAACAGAATACGGAAAGAAGCGGATGCGACTAAATGACACTATAATTCCGTCAATGTATTATTATACTAATTGCACTAGGAAAATTGTAAGTTAGGATTTCAAAATATATTGAACATGTCAACATAATTCATCTAACCGAATTATTTATATATAATAAATATATATATACTGATTAAATTCCGGTTGATTGCACCCAGTAACCGTTATCTAACTAGTGATAGAGATTATGACAGATGAACGACATGATTTTCAGGGAGTTTAAATCACTGCAACTTTGTTGTATAATTTTCTATGTGATAAATAAAATCTGTGAATCAAGGCAATCTCCAAAATCTTTCTTCAAATAAAATACAACACTGTTTAACTACTAGATTTTTCTCGATTCTTAGTGAGAATTATCGACTGATAGGATTCAGATATGTCATTATATAAATAGATGTCTCCAATATCTCTGGATAATTAATGCGCTTTATCGAATACCTATGGACTTGGACACAGTGGTTCTAATTTTTAGGCGTTCATTGCAACACCGTAGAGTCTTTCGTTCAGCATCCGAAGGATTGTGAATGAGCACTTCTAAAAAATTAGCTGTCCAGTAATCTCCAGTGTTCAATGATACTTTAATTGAAATTAATCTGTGAAGGATATAACCTATATTTCTTCATAGTTGATTTTACAAAATATGAGATTATTGTTGACACATGACAATGACAAATCGAATTCCAAAATTTAATCTTGATGGTGAATGGGTACAGGCATTCATTGAAAAGACAGGACCTAAATTTCCTGTTCATAAACATCATTTATGAGCGATAGCAGATCACGAATCTTGTGTTAACTGGTTCACTTCTTCGGATTTATCAAATATTATCACAGTTAGCGAGAGAAATTATTCATCTGAATTTGATTCTTAAAAGACTATTAACAAAACTTATATTAATTGTGACTTGTTTTAAGTGAACCGTTTAATTTATTATTGTGTACGTCTTAAAAAAGATACAACTACCAATGGATTCTAACAATAGTCTAAAAATACAATAATATAGCTTCTCGTCATTAGCTAATATTCTCTGACCCTCTGATTAACAGCATGATTCAAGAAAACTCATTTTTACTTATTTCCACCAGTAGAAGCTTGCTGAACGAACGTACAAAAAATTTTAGCAGAACTACTGGCCAGCGCATTTTTAGCGAGTTAATTTTCTATGGGATGGTATCACTAACCTTTTGTCCGACGCTCCTCCTTGGGAGTGGTAGTATCCCCAGAGGGGCTCCAGGCGGACTTGTTTGCAGAATATAATTGTAATAAAAGGCAACTTCAATATTTTACCTATTTGAGTTTATCAAATTTTTGGTTAATGATTAGCATAGCAATCACAGACGCACATTTCTTTTTTTTATTTCTTGTAAATTATGTAAATGTACTTTTATTTTAGTGTTGATCCTCGTATTGGAACTCGAAACATAATAACTGAGTTATTTACCATGTTGCCTTGTACTTACCTAGTTCCAGTTAACGAACTTCACTGATTTAATAACTAGGTTGATAACTCTTCAACTTACTACTGAACAATAGTTAGCAAATTTTAATGATGCTCAGTGAAAACAATTAATAATAATTTTCATTACAGTGGTTGTGAAGATTGGTAAGTTACACATTTTTTGAAACCATGAATCGATCAATGTTAGACCACCATTAGAAACCTGGAAGCACTGGACGGCCGTTTCGTCCTGGTGTGGATGCGCACTGCTGACATTGATCGATTCATGGTTTCAAAAAATGTGTAACTTACCAATCTTCACAACCCCTGTAATGAAAATTACCTGTGCTCACTAGTGACTAGCTTCGTGAGGAATCTTCTCCGAGTTCTAGTGGGAAGACGTGACCAGTGAAGTTCAACCTGTAGGCAGTGTCTACCGAAGACTGTGTATGAGGTTGCGCAACTCCGTGAATTTGATCAAGTTAGACATTAACACTATTAGATACCGGCTCAGTGGTCTAACGGTTAGGGCGTTCGCGCACAATACCGAAGGTCCTGGGTTCGAATCCTGCGGGAGTCCTGCAGGAGTCGTGGATGCGCACTGCTGAAGAGTCCCATACCAGGACGAAACGGCCGTCCAGTGCTTCCAGGTTTCTAATGGTGGTCTAACATTGATCGATTTATGGTTTCAAATAATTTGGAATTAATAATAACCACAACAATCAATAGTAATAATGCTCACAAACCTATGAGATCAATAACATATGGCTTATTTGACAAGTTCTTAGGACAATAACATGACTGAAGATGCTTGACTTTCAGGCAACAATTATGTGCACAACAGTAAATTTAATTACTACCAACTGTACATCGTTTGTTATTCAGTGATATATTTTTCTGATACTCAATGCTTACTCGATTATATTAACTTGGCTGCAGTATAATCAGTCAGAATGAATACTTTTGTCCAATGAAAGTTTAGTAGCTGTCCAAACAGCTCTGTGATAACATTTCGTTGTGTACTACTGGATGACGCATTTTTCAACCTCACTGGAAATATCAGACTCCTTAAAGTCCCAGGTACTTCTTCTTAACACTTTCTGCATGGCATACAAGTTTCATTGTATCAAATATTTAGCATACACAAACAAGCTTGATCATAATAATGGCATATGCAAAAATCTTTAATGATTACCTATTCCTGTAAAAAAAAAAAACTGACAAACCCACTTCGACATATTTAGGTGTTTTCGATTTGGGTTCAATGCTTGTTGTATATAACATGTTTAGATAATGTTTTGTTCCTCATTATTTATCAAGTTTATTCCATTTTTGCGTACAGTTAAAATATCTTTTGGTTCGAGTTGGGATTTTTCAAGAAGATCCACAGTTGTCGTCCGTATCCCGAATGTTTTTTTCTCTTCGAATTTGAAAAAATATTTTGTAGTGTATTGGATGTTATAAATGTATTACTGTATGCAACTTTGTAAAGCTACTTTTATTTTATCAATGTAAACGATCATTCGATTAATTTTGAAGTGATTAATTTCTTTGAAAAATTTAACTGATGTTATCAGAGCACCGAATCGTGTGATTTATTGACGTAATACATTTTCGACAATCTGATCATTTGTTAAGACGTTTTTACAGCTGATAAAATCTATGCAATCAAAAAACCAACTCTGTTCAGTTGGATAAAAATTGTGTGTTACGTAACACAGTTTTTACTTCTTATCTACAGACAATCGTTTTCTAATTGTCTTGATAAATCATTATCTAATATAGTCAGCCTATGAAAATGTATGTAAACTTTCATTACTGAAATGTTACATTTTTTTGAAGTACTTAAGAATTAAGTAAGCCTTATCGAACGAATTAAAATACTAGACTACATTTTCATTCGATTACTTCTATCTGACTGAAGGAAGATACATCTACTGATAAAGTATTTTCGGTCTTTTATATGATACTATTTACTAACGTTTTTAAAATGAAGTATTCCGAAATCTCTATGATCAAACTATCAAACTATCGTTTTTGTTAAGTCATATTTCACATTAAGATTCATATTTAAATCAAATCAGTTTTAGTATTGCTAAAAAAGCCAACTATCAACGGGAAACTATATCGTTCTGACTTAATACTCCACTATAGGTACCTACCATCATACGCATAATCACAGCTAATAATCATATTTCATAGCAAGAAACATACATCTAAATCAGCCAGTCTACTTCTTGATCATAAAATAGTCACACAATATAAATTGTAATATTTGTTATTCAACCTATCTGATTCAACTTTAACAACTTTGAATTAATACTAGAACTTCTGATATTCATCTCGAAACTGGTTACTATGAAAGCTGAGCATTTTATGTTTGACAATATGATTTCTAATAAAAATATAACAACGTAACTTTCTCTATAAACGATAGATGTAATCTCATTATGATCAGTAACTTATTACATAACAATGCAGGAAGGACATGAACAAATGTATACTTTTACTGGATAATGACTCAGATCACATATACACGTTGATAATGAGTACTAAATAGAGGTGAATATAAGTACAGGATTTCCTATTGGCTATCTAAATCATTTTACACTTCAGCGTAATACACGCAATATAAAGTTTAGTTAGACTAGTAGACACATTACAACCTGATAGATAGAATCATACTGGCATTAGGAGAAATTCGATATGCAAGACAGTGATTACGCCTCAGTGGTCAATGAACTGTAAGTATATCTTATTTCTAAAAGAGTTCAATTGCAGCGGAAATATATAAGTCACTGACTTTGAAGCCGGATGACATGAGATTGAGTCCATCGAGTAGCAACAGTTCCTTTAAGATTGTAAATATATCTTACTGACAAGTTCCAAATGGTGCCAAACTTAACGCCAAGGTTTCTTGTAGGTTATCCTTATTCACCTTACATTGTTGATTTTGTTTAGCCTTTTGTAAATGGATGCAAATACCACTATTCTTGAGGTTATTGAATTCTTGGCCAACCTGAAATGCATATGAATATGTATATTTTTCAATCAGTGAACATTTTTTGTCAGAAAATATGAGAATCATGCCAGTAATGACTGGTCACATCTTGTCAAACACATCGATAAAGGAAAAATTGCAACCCTGATATATATATATTTTTTTCTGGGTTCAAGTTTTCCTGTTACCGATATATTTCACAGTATTTGATCAGTTGTTATTATCATACATGTTTTATGCGTGGATAATGTCGGTTTAAAATACAGGAACTTTCAGTTAAGAAGTTCTTAAATGAATGAAACACACATCATAGATTCCGTTTCCAACAACAATTTAACTTTAATACTAAAATTCATTTCATTTTATTATAGTGAATCAGTTGAATGAATACATCGGTAGCGTTCATATGAGATGGTAATTCAAATTTTGTCCGGATGTTTATACACAAAAATATAATTGTGATAACTTATTTAAAATGATTAACCTCTGCCTGTCTATTATTTAGCATCATTTCTTTCAAAAATGCTAACTCATAAGTAAGCGATGAAGACCACCTACAAGCAGTATAACATCTCTTGGTTACTTTCAATCAAATTAAATTTACTATTTCTCATTCTTATGATTGACTTATTCCATAGATGAGTTACTGACAAATCATTCGCAAATAGTGATAGCGTGAAGAGTAGAACAATAATAATAATAATAATAATAGTAATAATATTACAGTGTGTTTAAAAGACTCTATGTATATATAATCAGTGTAACAGAACAACAGTCAGAGATCATTTGTTTTTCCCACACAAAAATCTCGTTACCAAGTAGTCTCATTTAAGGAATTAATTGAAACTTTAGTGAATAATAGTTATAGGTTGCTGAATTTCGAATGTTCTACTCTTATTCATGATTACTTCATTTAGAACTAGCTTTTCAATTCATACTAAAAGATTTCACTACAAAGATCAAGTTCAAAATAATTATTACATCACACATATAATTTATATTCTATTTTTCATTGCATTATTAAGAATTTATATATTTTTGGCTTACATTAATTTTTGTTTACATTTCTATGTTTTATTAAAAAAATAAAAATAAAGGGTCTTTACGTGGATGTTGTCCTTCCGAATTCAGCTGCTTACGAGGCTGGAATTAAAGAAGGTGATGAGTTAATCTGTGTAAATAATCAAATAGTTACAAATTGGACACAAGAAGCAGCTTCAAAACTATTACGTGAATTACCGGATGAAGATATATTAATGTTATATTTTCGAGAGTTTTTCCATCCTCATGGATTTAAGGATGTTATTCATTTTACTAAACAATTAAAAACTATATCAATGAAAGAAAGTCTATCTATGCCTCATTGTTCCACAATGGAAATGAATTCATCTTCCACTGAATTCAATTGTGATGAGAAACCTATTATTGATGAATCATTTTCTCTCATAGATAATACATTTAACGTAACTTCTTATCCCAGTGTAAAGAAACAATATGTACCATTAAATTTTCAAGATACGCTTGAGCATAATACTTATGTAGATTACAATAATAGTCCTATACGTACGTCCAATGTTTCCTTGTTAAACCATAGTAGAATATCTTATGATGATCCAGTCACTAATACACTGTTCGAAATGATTCCACAACAATCACATAAACGTATTTTAAATAGTTTCAGTGATTATACACTTGATTGTCCAAAATGTTTCATAAATGAACAACAAATTCAGTGACTATGTACAAAGATGCTTTATTTGTCAGTTAATAAGATTAAAAAAAAATGATGTGTACATTACGCTTCCATAATATGTACGAATTTAGTGCAAACTTTTGTGCTTTCATGGGAGAAAAAAATTATCAAGCAATCGAATCCCACTTGTCTATGTGTCAGTGATGATACATAGACGTGTCTTCATTTTGTATTTGATAATGTCTTATTAAAAAAATCATAGACACTATTTGTGATTGTAATTTAAACAAGTTTTTCAATCATATTTGAATATTAACTACCAGATAAATGTAGTTAATATGTTCGAAATGTTCTTTTATACATAGTGTGCCAAAAGTTTAAACATAAGACAGAACAGTTGTATTGTTCAATACCTTCAGTTACTTATTTCCTGATCAACATTCTTTCAGTATGAACCTAATGTCAAACTTAAATTTTTCATCATCTATGAATGATGTTCGGTCAATGTCCACCAGCATTTATCGATTCATGATTTCAATGCAACTCAACAATCTCCATAACTCTAGACTGAAATATCCCAGCTGATAAATCTTCGAGTATTAAACTAATCTTTAACTATAATCGACACTCCGTAAGTGTAAATAAGTCTTTGTTGTATTAGAACTAGACTCAAAATTTCTTACGGTTAACGTCAAACACGCTAGAATCGGAGTGCAAAGCAAAACCTAAGAAAAATCTATAAGGAAAAGCACAGACGATGAACAACAGTTAGCTAATATCGGGATATTTTATTAGTATTCCACCACTAATTGTTTACTACAATTCTGGATTTTCATGATATTTTCAAACAATCTTTAAACTTGTTATGGATTGAGAAGCAGTAAATATTTTATTTCTTTTGAAATTAAAACCTCTAAGTCATGTTAAGCTTAATATTCCATTTTCAGATGATGAAGGAAATTTGTTGCTCAGGTGGATGATTGGGTTAGAGTTTCGTTCTGTGAGCTAGATGCTCCATTCAGCTTCTAAGCTGGAAATTGAACTGAACATCATATCGAATGTTGATTATTCTAATAGCTCAGTATTAGTTAATTTACAATGGTGAAAGTTCTTTATTGGAAACCATACGCATGTGTGTACTTCCCTGGCTTTAATTTGATGACAACTGGTAAACGACTTAGCAGAATATACATTTTTGCAGACCCAAATCAATAGTGAGGATGTGACATCTGTATGCACTGTGGGATGATTTATTGGACAAGCAAACTACGTTGATTTGATGCCGATGTAAAGGTAGAGACTAGTACTCCAAAGGCAGCATTTCTACAACTGAAAAACATCCAGGACTCAAAATATCTATCAGCCAACAACAAAGAACTTTCATTACAAACGTCATAACCATTCTGTTGTATGGAGCGGGAAGTTGGAGAACAACGAAAGTCATCATCCAAAAGATAAAAGTATTTATTACGCAAGATACTGAGTATTTGTTAGCCAGACAGTATCAGCCACAGCCTACTGTAGGAAAGAAAAAAACATATTCCAGATGAGAAAGAAATTCGAAAAAAACACTTGACATGGATAGGACAGGCATTGCGGAAGACATCCGTCTGCTTCAAGACGCAAGCTTTAACTCGGAACCCACAAGGCTGTGGGAAAAGTGGTAGACCTAGGAACAGACAGACAGGAATAGAATGAATAACTGTTAGACGGAAGTGGAAAGGTAGGCCCAGGACAAAACAGGTTGGGGAATGCTGGCCGGCAGTCTCTGCTCCATTAGAAGCAACAAGCGTTAGTAATTAAATCTGAAACAAAAACCATCTTTAACAGACATCAATCTAAAATATCATTATAATAAAGATAGAATTGAACAGCTATTAATGCAAGACTAATAAACTTCAAAATTTTAATTTCATAAAAATGTAAATCGCGGGAAAAGAAAATTAATTGAAGAACAGTTTCTAGATCAGTCTGATTAGCCTTTTTTTTCCTAAATACCATTATAAAATAATTCAATGTTTTCAGTGATTATGTGTCAAGATTGTTCAAAAATTAATCTCTTATTATCTTTTTCAATGATTAAAAATAATTAATAATTGAATTTTTAATTAATTTAGAATCATTCCATTTGAAAGAGTAAAGAAATAATTTATTCCTTCACAGCAGTTTTGATTCCCTTAATAAACAAAAAAGTGAAGTATTTGTAATTTAAAAAATTTTCGATAAATGTTTTATTTTTCAAGTGTGAGTTGATGATGTGGAAATTGAGATATGGTTGAAATAATAAATAAGGTTTACCGTTGAGATAGGTACATCTCCACTGTCGTCTAAACTGAATGAACAAAATGGACAAGTTTGATCTTCATCCTGAATAGCACTGTAAAAACAAAGCATTTAACTAAATATATACAACAACACTAAGTAGATATACCAGTTTAAAGTTTCATTAAACAAGTATGACTTTTTCAAAGTCATATTGTTCTCAATATACAGTGATTTTTAATTGGCAAATCATGTTATAGCACTACTTATGTACTTTGTTCCCTTTTTTTAATATCCAACAGTTTGTAAATTTGTAGATTCAAATGAGTTTTTCTATTACATTTTCTATGTTTATGACCGATAGACTACTAGATAAGATTCGTTTTTCTATGCACATTGCCAAATGATGGTAGACTGTAAGAATTTCTACAAGTACCACATTCAGATCAATTGGCAGTCAATAAACACCGAAACATGGACCCAATCTATGGATCGATGCAAAAGCAGTCAATTATTCATAAGGCCAGAAACTATCTACATAAATACAAAAACAAACGATTATGACTAAACCCGTCAAAGTAGTAATTCACAAGTAAGACCACCGACACGAATTGACCTAACATTTAGGGAATATATGGAAAGCTCACCTTTACATGATGATGAAAGTGAGGCTTTAGAATCAAAATAATCTAGCGCCAAAAGTTTCCACTTGAAGTGAAGATTTCTCCCTACTATTTTAATAACTCAACTATACATTCTTTTAGTTACAAACCTGTCAGTCATACTATCACTAGCAATTATATTTAGTTTTATTTTTCAAAATGACTAAACTGTTCCCATGTTCTCATGTACATGAACAATTATTAATGTGATAGATGTTAAGCAACAGCGACTACTAATTACGGAAATGTTCACCAATTTCGAATGACTGTTTCAACAGACATTCAGCGTCAGTTATGTTAGAAGACATTATATCTAGAATTATATTTGCAATAATCTGAGCAGTATCAGCACATTCTAAGAGGTATGTAAATTATAGGTCGGCACTTGCTTGTTTTACGAAGGTCACAGTTCCGAAAACTCAACAGAAGTGATAATCGCATTACAGCAAATTGAATTAAATGTAATTTTATTCTCTAGGCTTGAGAAAAAAACAATCACTCTGAAGAATTTTCAAAGAATAAATGTAAGAAAAACTATCAGATAGCTAAACGTAAGGTTGACAGTACACAAACAATTTTTAAAATATGTGCCTAACTGACCTATTGACCCTAAGAAATTTGAAAATATTTTGACAATAGCGCTATAGACATTAAAAACTGAACACAAGATCAAATTCAAAGGGACTAAAATATTTCAGAAAAAGTTTAACTACTAATAAGTAATTATAACTTTATTTCTGACTACCCTGTTCACAGTGAACATAGAGTTCTATTCTAACAAAAATTAACATTACATGAATTCATTTGACTATTCTCATTTAACATATACTTTTAGTTATGCTAATAATTTTAATCAAAATAATGAATAATATATATATTTAAAAAGTAGACAATTTTTTACTTATTTCATTGCATATAGATACTCGCATACATTCATTGTGTTTGCATAATGTGAGATTTTCACATTAATTCATGTCTTCAATAAATCAATACTTCCCTACTCAACAAAATCACTATCGGAATATGATTAATTAAGCTTTGAGTGTGGATTTCTTTATGAAGCCTTATCGATTATTTGGTTATTATATTGAAGAAATTCAGATAATATGAATAAATGTAAAGCAAAGAACAATGGTTAGGATTATTTTAAAATATAATTTTTTTAAAGATTCATAGAAATCATTACTTGAAATTTCATTTGATTTTGTCGTTAGTAGTAAATTTTGTTGAAAATACTACACCCGACCCGGTTGTAATCCGCTTGTCATTTCATCTCACATTAACACAGTTGAATGCCGGTCCAGTGGTCCAGAGGTTAGGCGTTCGCGTGCAAGACCCAAAGTCCACGGTTCGAATCCTGCGGGGTGCATGAGTCGTGGATGCACATTGTTGATGAGTCCCATACCAGGACGAAACGGCAGTCCAGTACTTCCAGGTTTCTAATGGTGATCTAACAATGATTGACTGAGGATTCAGAGGTTTATTAAAACTCGTTTTAAGAGACGCTACTTTCACTGGCGTATCACACACAATTGCAAACATTAAGTTTGACGTATTCGGTACTATGTTTACTGATACAATATCCTGTCAAGTTATTCAAGACATAAGAAATTCACCTGAAAATAGTATGAAGGAGAATAAGGAAGAAATTTACATCTGAATTAAGGAATATGCTCGCCCGAAACTGATATAATTTACAAAAAGAATCAAACAGGCATAAATTGATAATGCTCCATATAAGTTTGAGCTATAGAGCTTCCATAGAGCCAGTGTTATTACTGAACAACTGTCGAAACTGATGTAGATGAAATTCAGATCATACCTACTGATCTATTAGCTAAAATTCAACTGTTACGATAAATAAGAAATTACCATCACTAACACTAGTTAATCATAGCATTAGCATGTATATTCTAGTAAAAGTAAAAACTGACAAACTCAGTTTAGTATATAAAACTATAAAAAAGTAGAGAATTTTAATTGGAAACCACAGGGTGATTATAGCTAACTTGTTATCTTTTCAACCATCGAAATATAAAACAGACTGTCTGTCGATTAACTTTCACAAGTTTAACATAATTTGGTAAAATGTTCTTTCTAATTAATTTTTAAATGTTAATGACGAAATTATTTTAGGCAAACATGATAAATCTAAAAAAATACATTTTCGATGAATAGATGTCATAGTTGAAAGGTGACAAGAAAATATTTAATTGGTAAAATGTAATTCTTTAAAGTTGAAATTAGTGTCATAAACACTATCTATCAAGAGAAAACAAAGTATTAAAGAGCAGATTATTTGAAAACTTAAATGAACAAGGTATTTATGAAGCTATAAGGGTTTCAATCTTCCAGTTATCTGCTTCGAGAATTGTCATTGATCAATCTGTTTTGGCATTTATCCGTCCAACGCCAAAAATATTT